ACACATTCCAGAAGAATTTATTTCCTTTACTTCAAACTATTTAACTGCTGTGTAACAACTAACAACCGTATGAAGTTATACATTTGTTGGATTTATTTCATTTTAATAATACAATTATTTATCTAATGCCTATTGAACAAAATATATGTTATGACTTATGAGGAATCAACATTAACAATAATATTAATTATACCATTGATGTTTCAAGTTTGTTATGAATTTTATTTATGTTTTTCTAAGACCATACCTATTGTTTTAAATTGATAAGTTGTAACATGAGCTTGTAATCGTGGTCTAATCAGCGTAATGTACCTTTACCACTAATTAGTTTTTATTTATACACGAGGAACACGTTGCGGGGTAATTTGCGTTCGCAACTTAGTGCATTAAGAAACCGTTACCTACTTAAGCCACTTCTAGATTGCTACATAGTATTAAATTATGTCTGTTTTTTCCCCTCGTGACTTTTGTTTCCATTGTAAATTAGATGGTATTCTATATAGATCCCTTGTCGTCTCAAATAATAGTCAAACGTCCCCATTCAATAACAAAGTATGTCTGACCGCAACAATAACAACTAGTATTAGGTTTGTTCGCAGGAATAATATATATGAAGGAAAAAAAATGCGCCGAAATCGTTCCCCCGAGAGACGGTACGACGAGGGTCCAAAGTTTCTCGGTGGACGAATATTTTTGTGTTTCGATAATGACGGTTTTTGGCGGTGTGTACTAGAAATGTTTTTACCTGCAGCGGTGGTGGTGGTGTCGTTACCGCTATGGTATATACAAACAAACTTCGATGTGCAGTTTACATTCGATTGAATTTCTATACAACGCCCCTTCTATACGCGTACCTGTACACACGTACAGCATATATATACACACACACACACACACACACACACACACACACACACACGTGGATCAGAAACTTTTGTAGACTCAAGTTTCCGCGTGTCCCCTCGCCTAGCTATTGTATTCCATTAGTAATTATATACCGATGTATGGCGGAGTGCTACTACATTATATAGAGTAAACAAAGCGAACCCCTCTCTCGCCCTTCGTCGTTACATTAGACAACAACGAATTTCAGCGATCCTTCCGTCCTTCGTCAGACAAGTTCTATTATAGACCATCTATTTATTTTTGTCCTACGTTAAAAAATACGAACATTTTACCATTGATTCGTTCCTGTTGCGGCTACTGTTTAATTATTTACACGTAGTATTTCACAGTGTTCGGAAACCGAGTAATATCGAAAAACCGCTCAAGTGTGATTACATTGTAAAATGTAGTGAGCTTTAATATTTGACATTTCTTTCGATGTAGGTATATATAGTTTGAAATTATTGTTATTATTGTTTTGTATAATATAATGTATAGTTTTCCTTTTCATGCCAACTATCATAGATAGGTAGGTACCAGTGGCACAGCATACACTTCACAAAATAGAAAAATATTTTTTTATATATTAATAATTCTATATTTTTATAAAAATATTTTCAATTTTATTGTACTAATTTAGTGCTAAAATATTTTGTGGATTTTCTTCCAAGTTCATTAATCATTAGGATTGATTAATCCGTAACACCACGGCCGCGACGCTCTATAGTCCTTATATCTAGTGGCTAGTACCTCAGTACCTTGTTTATTATGTAAGAAGTATGTAAGTAGGCGATTGCATACGGGTACAGACATAGGCGCAAATAGGAGGGGGGCTAGGGGGCTTTAGCCCCCCTTGAAGTTTCTATAGCCCCCCCCCCCAAAAAACTAATGATTTCACTACTATAATTTAAAAGCATCATAAGAGTTTCAAGTATAGACCTGAGCTTCAGCCCCCCCAAATTTCAAACACTATTTACGCCAATGGGTACAGACTTTCAGCGACTGCAGTTATTTATAGTTTTTATCGATAATATTAATAACAAAACTTAGAACGCTTGTGGTCGTGTATTCGTCACTCGTATATGCGGGATCAGTATTGCATACGCTATCGTTGACAGCCTATTTTAAGTTGTAACGTGCATTAATTTTTAAAAAGTGATTTACTTTTTATTTATTAAATATAATATTTTGTTATGTTCTAGGTAATGTAATATATATTAATGAATACTTAAAACTTTGTATGTTTAAAGTAAAATTTTAAAAACAGTAAAGGGGGTGTGGGGCCGTGGGGGGCATAGCCCCCCACGATTCCATTAACTTACTATTTCAACGCATACGCTAAGCTGAAACCCACGCTACGCCACTGGTAGGTACTCTGTTGGTTATGATTAATTTAACCTCCGCGTTAATATATTATAAAGAATATAAAGATAGATTATCAAAAGTACGACGCGTATTATAGGTGCCCGTTAATTGCAGAAACTTTTACACAACTAAAACTTATTTTTTAATTATCGCGTCAGTACACATATTATAGCTACACAATATGATCCATTGTATAATATAGTTTAACGGCCCATGGCTCTTTTTTCATATAGTTATACATTATTTTTGGGGTATAATGCATGTCTTAATTTATTGTTCGTTGGGCTTTTCGGTTAAGTGAATCGGCCAAGTTTGTGAATAATTGAATGTAATTCGGTAGGTCATTTAAAGGGTTCGCACTGGGGATTGTCTCCGGAAAGTTCATCGTCGAACACAAAACTAATTGCCACCGTTATACGGAGTGATGTACCAAACACATGGGATCTGTGTATATTGCAGTATGTGTTTTACGCGTTTAACTAAAAAATCGTCGTCACCTATTAGTTGATTAAACACCTGATTTTAAACGCAGTGTCGAACTTTTGTGTACTATGTATGTACCTACGTAGAAACATTGAAAAAAATATTTATTGTTGCAATTTTAATTCTTTATAATGTGCGTTATGATGAGTAAGATGTATCTATATATGTATACCTATGGGTAGTTAAATTCGTCATAAAGTTAAAATAAACCATCGACTATAGAAATGTATTGCTTCTACATAATATATTAAATGTATATGGGTAAGTACAATATAATAGGAGATTAATGTAAGTAAAAAATATTGACGTCAAATTATTATTATAATAATATGATTTATTTGTCATCTGGGTTGGATAATTCAAATCATCAAATTAAATTTAGCTTTAATTGTTTTCCTGTATTTCTGTGGATGTTCTCGTTGGATTATAATAATTATTTACTCATTCCATTGTATTATCGTGTAACAATGCGCAATGGTAGATTAAAGCAGCTAACGAATCTATTGCTAATTAATAAATTTAATTTCTATAGCTGCGTTTAGACCAAGAGGATTAAGGACAGTTTTGGAACGCGCCGTTCCATCTTTTGTATTTTAAACCTTGCGTGTAAATACTAAAAAATGATTTAGTAAATGATTTAGAAAATTACACAGTTTTTAGTAGATGATAAATGCATGTGATGGCTTGTGCGTCTAAATGCTTCACAGGCATTTGTTTTTTCCAAATGACTAATATAGAAAGGACAGGCTATCATTTACATTTATGGAAGCGTTTAGACAAACATTCCATCATCAAAGACAATCATTTGCTAATTAATTAAATAAGTAAATTGACCCTCGTATCCTGATATATCGTAGGGTTGGTGTTAACCCCTAAAATCCCACTTAGTATTATATTTTTTTCCGGTAGTATAATATATATACCTATATGGCTATATATCAATGAAAGGTGAGTAATTAACTAATTAAGAAATTAATAGTTTTTTAACATACATTTTTAGGTAGGTAGGTCGTAGGTACCTAATTTATTTTCTCACTAGGTAACTGAACCAAATGAGCTCGGTAGTTATAATATAAATATATAATAATAGTAATAAGAATTGTTTATTTTGCAACCAAATATAATATGAAGTATTATGAATATATCAAAAAAAAAAAAGGAAACTCGCTTTGCTGTACAGTGGTGCATAAGCGTGCACACGGGGGGTTCTCACATTCTCTTAATTTCTCTTTCTCTCCCGGGCAACACTGCTTTTTGAGCATTCCAGTCATCACTCATCATACAGAGTTGGTAAATTGCTTATTATTTTTTTCCCGCCAATTACATTTCCATTATCAACATTATATCTATTGTTTAGTTTGTTCATACTTCATAGGCTCATAGCTTAATGAAATAATCACAAAATACAAATACAAAAGTAAAATTTCATGTGCATATTTGTTATATGAATCTTAAATTTTTAGTTTTAACTGAAGTAGTGAAGACTGTGAAGTGCGTAGTTTTTAGCGACTTGTTTACTGTTGTAATTGTATACTAACTATAATAATAGTTATGTCGGATATTCGCAACTGGTCGAAAGAATTTTTGACCGAGTTTATAAGTATATACAGAGAGCAACCATGTCTGTGGAAGATTAAAGACAAGAAGGTTTATACTAATAGAAATTTGAAAAATATGGCCTATGAAAAATTGGCCAACTTTGCACAAACTGTGTATTCTGATGCAAACAAGACATGGGTTGTACAAAGAGTCCAAAGTCTACGTGGTTCATTTAGGAAAGAATTTAATAAATGGAATGAAACAAGAAATAAAACTGGTTCATCCACTGACAGTGTGCACGTACCATCACTATGGTATTATAATCAACTTTTGTTTACAAAAGAACAAGAGACTCCTGAGGAGAGCATTTCCAACCTAAGTGACGATGAAAATAATGATGCTATGATGTCTACAAATATACATGATTCAACTCTTCCAGAGGAAGTCAACAAACAGCTAAACAGTGAGATGCCTCTACAGGTATGTAATGTACCTATTAAAAAAAAAAATTATTAAATAATTATTAAAATCAACTCCATATTAGGTAGGTACCAACCATATAAATAATAAAAAAAAATAAATTAAAATTGTGTACCTTCTTCAGTATAATATTTATTGGTAAAAGGTATACATAGTCATTCAATAAAATAATATTATGCCTACTGAATGATGGTTCTAATACCTATATTATATTATACAGTTCTTAAAAGTATTTTTAATCACCTTCACTATGCTTTTCCCTTTTGCAACATTTCTTCTTGCCAATCTACTTTCCCTTTTTCATTATAAAATTGTTTATAATTATTCCGATTAATTTTTGCATCAGAATGGGCATTTCGTTGTACAAGTTTTTGAATTTCAGTGATATCAGCTGCTTCATTTCTCCAATCGCCATTATTTATAATTTCATGTGTATTCGTGTCTTCTTTGTCAAATGTCTTATTTGAAGCATAAGAGTTACTTGTTTTTCGCAAAAAATTGTGCAGGGCACAAATTGCTAGAACAACTTTTTTTATATTATCTGGTGACATATTTATAGCTGTGTGTAGAACTCTAAATCGGCTTGTTAAAAGTCCAAATGCATTTTCTACTACATTCCTGCCTCTAGCCAATCTATAATTGAATATCCGTTCTTCATGCGTAACTCCACTTCCTGGGTACGGTTTCAATACATGGTTATGTAATGCAAATGCATCATCAGCCAAGAATGAGAAGTTCAAGTTTTCTTCAGTTTCATAATTGTTAGGCAAATCTAATGTCCCAGCCAATAATTTTTTGTAGAATGTAGTATGTTCGATTACTCCTCCATCAGAACATCTACCATTTTTCCCAATATCAACATAGATAAACTCGTAATTAGAGTTAACCAATGCCATCAACACCATACTGTAAAAGCCCTTATAGTTGTAAAAATGGGCTCCTGAATCTTTCGGTGGTATTATCCGCACATGCTTTCCATCAAGAGCACCTCCACAGTTGATGACCTGCCATTGATCTTTGAACCCTTTACTGATTGATTGCCATTCATTTTTATTTTTTGGAAACTAAAAATTATACAATAAAAAATGTTTTTAGTACTATTTTATTGTTATTAATCATAATTATTTGTTATAGATCTGGGTACCAATTAAACCAATTATTTTAAATGAATACCTAACTGTTTTTTTTTTTTTATTAAGGAAACTTTTGATTCATCAAAACAATATGTCACCACTGTACCATCAAAAAAAAGGAAGAAAGATGACAGTCTACATTTTGCAAAAACCATAACAGAAGCAATTAATAATTGCAAAGATATTGATGAATTTGAAGCATTTGGAATTTGTGTTACTGCTAAGACTCGCAAAATGAATCAAGTCCAATATCTTATTGCTGAATCATTGATAAACACAGTACTGTCTAAAGGACTGTTAAATACTTTGACACCAGACATTGGACTACAAAATAATATAGGTATGAGTTTTTTTGTTTCATTAATTTAATCAGTGTTGTAAACTATTTGAGTAATTGTATTTAAATATTTGAATAGTATTTTAAATACTTTTTGAATGCATTTGTGAATGTATTTGTATCTATATTTAAATATGATTTTAAAAGTATTTCTTATAAAACTAGTCACAATGCTATATTCTTATATTTAATCACAATATTGTTATTGAATTTACAGATCATTCAAACAATCATTATTATTTTCCAAATACTTCTTCTACAAATGAAAACTCTACCTATCCTGTCATTAACCCTGCTACATCTGTATCCAGCCATTCCAAACCCATCTCTCCTTTAAGCTACACTTATTCTGCTGCTCCTATGGACCCTATGCATTTTACTGAAACTGAGGTTACTAATCAAAATATGGTAAATGATATGCCGAATTCACAGTGGAATTACGATGATGCAAAAGTTTCCGATGAATCTGCTCTTGATTTTTCCAACTCTTGTTCTTATACTAACATATAATTTGATCAGTAGTATGATTATATGTTAATGTTGTTTCTTTGTTACTCATGATAACTATGTTCTAGTCTATACATAGGTACTATTATCTTATGTATTTAACATTTAATTTTTTTTTAATATTTTATATAAAAAGTTATAATTACAAAAAATGTATTTAGTTTTAATTGTTATAAGTTTATAGGTTTATGGCGGATAACATACAGTACCTATACCTATTTCTTACTACATTGTTTTTTTATTTTTTAACTCAACAAGTGATTTAAATTTTTTTTTTGTTACTTATGATAACTATGTTAAATAAATACTATTATTTTACATTTCTTTTTTTATTAATATTTTATATAAAAAGTTATAATTACAAAGAATGTATTTAGTTTTAATTGTTACAAGTTTATAGGTTTATGGCGGATAACATACAGTATACCTATTACTTACATAAATTGTTTTTTATTTTTTAACTCAACAAGTGATTTATATTTTTTTTTGTTATGTATGATAACTATGTTAAATAAATACTATTATTTTACATTTCTTTTTAATAATATTTTATTTCAAAAATAATAATTGCAGGGCATGATTTATTAATTAAAAAAAGTTTTTCGTCATACCTATGTAGGTAGGTGGGTACCCTAAAAATTTAAATTGTAATAATGAGTAGGTGGTATAAGACTCAAAATGTTGAATAGTAAATGAGACATTTTTTTTATGATGAACAATCATATTGTGTTCAATAGCTCTTTATGGCATTTAAATACTTTATCTTCACTATATTTATAGCTATTTTTATTTCATACTAAATCAACTTTAAAGTTCTTGGTTGGTACAAACTATGAGTAGATTATAAATGTATTGGTGTAAGATTATCAATAACTATCAATTACTAAAAAAAAAAATGTATAATGCTGTTGTTTATACAATACTTACAGTTAGGTAATCCTTTTTCAAAACTTTAAAAATTGCATCACAAGTCTCTGGTATTATTTCGCATAAGCTGCTAGCTGATATGGCAGTTGAAAATTTTAGTCTTTGGTAAGACATACCAGTAGCTAAAAATGTTAGTGTCGCTAACAATCTTTGTTCTGGAGGAATACTTTCCCTCATGATGGTATCCTCTTTTTGTATTAATGGTCCAATTAAATCTAGGTAGATAATTATACATTTTATTGAATTATTGAACAACACTAAAATGTAAAAAAAAAAATTAGATAATATTATATTACACTTACCTAGTAAGAAATCAAATGTTGTTCCATCAATTCTTAAATAATTTTTAAAATCTTCAGGATTATTATTTCTAAGTTCACTAATTAATGGTAAGTGACCAAATTTTGTCTTATCCGACAGCCAACTCTTCATCCAAATTGATCTTGGAGATCGTGCTTTTACCATATTCATATGTATATAGTAAACAGCAGCATATCCTAGTAGTTGTTTTTTTCTTCTTAAAGAGGACATTTTAAGTAAGTACGATAAACACGTTTTTTGCAAATATTAGTAGTGTCAGGTGCTGTGGTACGTGTTAACTGTAGTTGTTCGAACGGCGGAGTGGTCAAAGTTTTAAAATGACTAGAGGACATGATAGATCGTGTACAATCGTTTGTAAATACTGTTTACACGCACAGTTTTGTCAGCTCGCGTTCCAAATGATCACTCCAACCCGCGTGATGGAATTTGTTCATTTAAATTAGCAAATGATTGGCATGTACAATCTACCGCGTGGAAAAACTTGTACGGTCCAATCACGCGTGATAGTCATTTGGTTAATTTTTAAATACCAAATGATGGAACGTCCCGTTCCATCCTTTTAATATCACGTATGATGGAACGTCGCGTTCCAAAACTGTCCTTAATCCTCTTGGTCTAAACGCAGCTATTGTCTGACAAGTTATTGTGTATTATGGTGCATAATTAATATAATATCTTCTATTCAATATTTTTAATAATTTCTGCGAATCAGATAGGAGTAAATTTTACTTGCATATCTTCACATTTAGTCACAAAATGGGAAAAATCAAAAACCATAATATTTTTCGTGCATGTAAAATTGTATGTATCTAAGTTTGTATAATATATAATTATTTGAGTCATAATAATGTGACGTGTTGAATGTAAAATATTATAACCAACGTCACAGGAAAGATAAATTAGTAAGAGATATTTTCCTAATGTGTATCGAACTGTGAGACAATTGCATAATATGATAAACATCTGGATATCTCGTGTGGGAAACCCATATGTTTGTTTTCAAAAAAAAAATTCATTCAGTTTTTTTAAATTTATGTTACATCTCTGGAACTCCATAAATCATATTTAAATAATATATTTTGATGAAACAATCGAAAGTCGAGATAAAATAAATTTATTTATTCGATTTGAATACGATATTACTTTTTAAGATAATAATATAATCTAAACGAATTCGCTGTACTTGTAGAGTTTTTGAAGCTACAATAGGGACAACAAAAGCAAAACAATTTAATATAATATATATTGTGTTTATTATACTTGTTTACGGTAACACTTGAAACGACTTGTATATTATATTTTAATTTTAATGGCACTAATGTTTTGATCAAAGTATAAATTTGTGTATAAAAATGAGCATTCGGCTTTTGGTCAAATCAAAACCGCGGTGTTAACGATACTTACAAAAACTATATGCCAATGAAATCCGGTTGCTAAACGTTTACGTGATATATTCCTTGGTGTACTTACCTACAACCTATCATTTATCGTGTTTTTCACTTATCTGTAATTTTGTCACGCGTCCGTGCACCAATATATACATTCGACTGTAAAGCGATTTGTACTGCTGCTGCTCGGGTTTTATTTTTTTTTACATTTCTGGGAAATCTAATAGAATTTTCTAACTATTTGTTAACCAACGCACACACATGCTGCTGCTGCTGCTGCTAATATACCCAGCGCAATGATCCTTATACAGTTCAACCTTGTTTCAGTGACCATAATGACTTATATGACGAACAAGTTATAACGAACACTTTTTCGTGAAAAAGTTTATTTTTAAGTGTTACGCCGCAAACACTTTTCGTCGTAAATCCATCTAAACTTTTCGAAACACAGCGGACCAAGATAGTAAACTTATAATTCACCAAGTAACATCAACCCCATTTTCAAATATTTCAATTTTTTTTTACCATTTAAGACGAGTATCTTGTAGCAATAATACAAACTTATTTAGTTCTTTATATAAAATGATAAATAATATTTTTTCTATAAGTTATTAGTTTTTATATGTATCTAAATCAAAATTCGAACGAGTAGATTTTAAGTTATTAAAATAAATCGGTATAATGTACTTAAAATACTTAGGATAATAAAAAAGTGTAAACTGCTAATGTAAAAATGGCTTTACACACACATAAAATATATCTAATATTTAATCAGCTAGTACCTAGTTATTTAGATTCATGCAATCTTACAAGATTATGAATTTATAATGTAATATAATTTTAAAATCATCATAACTCCCATATCTTTCACATCTATTATATCGCAGACTTCTTATCCTTAGTAATTACACAGAGTTGAATAACTCAACATGAATTAGTATTTAGAACACATAAATAGTTCATTAATTCAAAAAATACTCGTTCGAAATTCGATTTATAAAAATAAATATTCTTATATTCAATTAACAGGAAAAACACCATCCTAATTTGAAAAAAAATTTGTTTTTATTGCCACAGGATTGCCTCATTGCTTAAATGGTATATATATACCATTCAAGTATTTTAAAATGTTGTTTCTAAGTAGTTTATACCTACTGAAAAATTTCAAAATCAGAATTATAATAAATGCATAATTAAATTAAAAAAATGGGGTTTCTGCAATCGTTATGATATTATTACATTCATTAAAATTTAAAATGTTACAAATAAGTCATAATGTGTAATAGTGAGTAGTTACAACAGTACCTACCTACATAATTAAAATTAAACAATTCGATAATAAGCTAATAACTTTCAAATGTCAATACTATTATTAGTATTCTAATTTTCTTCAACTCCGCTTTAAGATTACTTGTGAGTTTTGTTTTGTCATCAATGATACATTCTTGGACATTAATAAGTATATTATTTTTATATTTAAAATTTTTTTTTTTAATCTAATAATTATAATAGTAATACAAGTATGAATATATATATTATTGTATTATATATATTATAATATCAGCTCTTCAATAGAAATTTCACAAAATAAAATAGGATTCTCAAATGTTATAAACAATGCAGCATGTAGGTGCCTTCCCATAGGTTCGATGTTTTCTGTGACGTATAATTTTATTAAAAAGTACCGGTTTTGATAAGTGCAGTGATGAGGCATGACGACATGCCGTTTTGTAATAAAGACGAATGATCTGATCTATGGGAACTACATTGTTTGGCCAAGTGTAAAATACATCGATGTGTTTCTATTTATGGACTATAAATAACTTAATCAAGCGGAAAATTAGCAAAATATATTATTTTATAGGAGCAACAAATAAGATACTTAAATTTATTTTGAAAAATCGTCTCTCTCATTGTCGATTGTACTCTTAACTCGATTTGTATTATACTATTATATCTTCAGATACTTGTTTGATTTTGATTTTTAATTGAATCTTAATCACCGCTATTTCGGCGTTGAGTTCTTTTGTGTTTATCAATAGCTGTAATAATAATTTGAAAGTTTGTTGGAAATAAATATATATATTTTAAAATTTGTTTCCTAACTTATTTTCGTTTTGAAAGTCTATACTCTGATTGCGAACGCGTTGCATAATCTCGCCCTTATCTTTTGGCACCAATAATAATGTTTCGGAAATATTTGGGGAAGTGAAGTTATAAGAGGACACCCCAAGTTTACCATCAGCAATTAGGATAGAATCAAAAAGTTTTTTTTTTATAAATATTTTTTGATGAATTACCGAACGCGGCGTTTATGGAAGGGCGATGGAGCTTGCAGGGTAGTGGATACGAAACTAAAATAAAATAACTGATCGATTGGTTGACAGCGTATTAAATGTATTTTTTGCACCCTCTGTTGAAAGCGCGAGTACTATATAAGGAAGGGTATGTCTCGTACACGAGTCTGATGTGGGGATTTTCCGTTTCGCCCGATAGCCTTTTAAAAATTCTGTCAGGGTCCATCCACTTGTTTGCTCTTGACGACCACCGAGGGGGTTGGGGGTAGGAAGAGAGTGAGAGAATGACGTTTTCTTCGTGGGTTTTCCGTCAGCTTGGATTTTTGTCCTTTCAACTGGAAGTCGTTTATCTTGCCAAACGTCCAGAACAATCGACACCGCGTTGTGATTGTTATTACTGCTATCGCCCTTTTTGCCAAATATCACAGTTTTTGTTCACCTTGTTAACACTTTATAATATACCGAGTGATTTATTTTCATAATTGTTTCAAACGATAGGTTAGGTGATATATCGGTCATTAATAACATTTTGTGACATTATTTTTACCTCAATATAATGTACTAGACATTTTACTAAAAACAACTTTATTATGTTATTTTTAAGTACCTATATAAAGTATATACAATTTTATTTTAAGGATATTATATTAGTATTAAAAAACCAATATTGCTAACTATTTAACTAACTTATACGATTCAATTCGTATCGAAAATGTCAATAGTATAATTATATTAGGAAATATAAATTTGTAATTTCCTCGATTTCAGATGGTTATTTTTGCAATTTAATAGAAAACCACACATCACTGCATAAACGATGGGTTTTACTACATAAAATTAATGTTTTCGTTTACATGTATGTTTTATGTATTGATTGGTTAATACTTGAATACATTTTATGTTTGATAATTATTACAGAAACGGATATAAATGTTATTTAGAAATAATTTATATTTGTAACGTTTTAAATACGTAGGTAGTTTTAAAAATATTTATTTATCTCTAGTCTATAATATAAATAAAGATAAATTGAAATTGAGATAATAAAATAATCATAATATTATATGCGATGTTCAATTATTTTGTGAATAATAAAATAATAAATTATTGATAGATTTTCAGTAAAACTTGTTAGGATTGTTTTTATCAGAAATAAATAATCGGTACACTCATCATTGTTGGGTAATTAAAACGAGTAATTTGCAATTTAATTACACCTTTAATGACTTATGATTGATTTTGTTTTCACAATTAATAATTTTCCAATTTTCCACGGTTTTATTATTCGATGTTGATTTACTGTTATTATTAATTAGCATAATAATATATCGAGCATGTCTTCAAAACAAATTCACTGTACTGCACGTATATTAGGGTGGCAAAACTGAAATGTTTTTTTCGTAAAACGCGTTAAAAAATTAATTTGTTTTTGGTTTTAATTATTCAATTTAAATTATAACACCGTCAACAAACTCTCAAATTGTATTTGAGGGGATTCGGACATGAAGCCGCAATATTCGTCAGT